GCACCATGTGTGACTGAGTCAGGGTGATGGTGCGACGGGCTCTGTCCCGGGTGATCTGCAAGCCAAGGTAGCTACGCAGTTCACCCAGGTCAGTGCAGGTGTGTCTCTTCTGCAGCTCCGACTTCACACGAGCGAGTGCCTCAGTGTCAGCAGTAGCAAAGACCAAGTCGTCAACGTACACGAGGATGTAGAACGGCGGCAGCGACGTGTCAGTGCGCAGAAACAGCGACGGGTCAGCAGTAGACGGCGCGAACCCAAGAGCCGCAAGAGTAGTCCTCAGTGTGTCGTGCCACTCACGTGGCGCCTGGCGGAGACCGTAGACTGGCCGGCGGAGACTCCACTGAGTACCAGGGGGAAACGACCCAGTAAAGCCAGGTGGGCGGCGCAGCCAGATCTCCTCGTGCAGGCTGCCCTGCAGGAACGCTGTGCTGAAGTCAAGAGAGTGAAGCTCGTAGTCACGCTGAGCAGCAACGTGCAGCAGAACCCGAAGAGTGGTCATCTTCGGGGTGGGGGAGAAGGTCTGGAAGAAGTCGACCCCCTGACGCTGACTGAAGCCTCTAGCAACGTAACGAGCCTTGAAGACAGGCGGAGAACCTGGCGGCCGCTTCACCCTGAAAATCCACATGCCATCGACGATGTTCGCCCCAGGAGGGGGAACCTCGTCGACGTAGGTGCCTGTGGACTTCCAGGATGCCATCTCTGCGTCCATGGCTGTCTGCCACTGAGAGGAGTAGGGACCCGAGATCGCCTCTGCGTAAGTGCGCGGAGTGGGGATGTCTAGTGCATCCGGGTCTCCCTCAGGGGCAAGCAACCAGGCCACGAGATGAGGTACAGCAGCCGCAAGAGAGTCAAAGTCCTCCTGCCTGTCCTCAAGGACGTCCGTGCCAAGAGCACACTCACCCCCGACGGACGGAGGACAGACAGACGCAGACTCTGACTCAGCGACAAGGCTAGCAGCGTAGTCTAGACGACAGGCAGCAGCAAAGTCAACCAACTCAGCGACCAGAGCAGACGCAGCCGAGGACTCAAAGGTGGGGTCAGTGACAACAGTAGCAAGGAGACGCGTGACTGTAGGGTGCTCAGCGCGATACCGGTCAGACTCAGGGTCCGGAACGGCAGGCAACGAGGACGCAGGAGGAGACGGTAGAGGGACACGCCGAGGAGCAGTAGAGGGACGCAGAGTCATGTAGTGCGTGCCTGGGACAGGAGGAGGACGCTCACGACGGACACGACTACCAGTGCGAGCAGGACGAACAGGCGACACAGGACGAGACTCAGGCTCACGACGCTCTGTAAGACCTCCTGTGGGACCAGCGTAAGGAGAGGGAGCAGGGAGAGGCGAGGCAGGCGGTAACTGTGACTGCGGCTGGACAGGCGGAGGACACTCTACGGAGGGAGGAGGACAAGGAGGAGGAGCCTGCCCAAGAACCTGCTGAAGGAGCGGTACGAAGTACGGTCGCGGCCGCGCAGCGTCTCCAGAAGCAGAAGGGACTCCAGCGGCCGGGTCCGCAGTACCAGTAGGAGCTCCAGCGTCCGGGTCCACAGCACCAGCAGCAGCTCCACCGGCCGGGTCCCCAGCTCCAGCAGCAGCTCCACCAGGTGGGTCCGCAGCACCAGCAGCAGCGCCACCCCCAGAGTCGGCAGCTCCAACTCCGCTAGCACCGCCAGCGCCAGAGTCCCCAGCTCCAGCAGCTCCAGTCGCAGTGCTCCCAGAACGAGCAGCTCCACTACCCCCAACTCCAGCCGAGCCACTAGGACGGCGAAAGCGTCGGACGTACCAGTCACGAAGCTGCTGCGGTGTGAGAGACTGCTCAGCACCCCGAACCGGAGCACCCCCAGACGCAGTAACCCGAGGCTCCGTAGGCTCAGTAGCAGCACCCCCAGGCTCAGTACCCGCAGGCTCAGTACCCGCAGGCTCAGCACCCCCAGTCGCAGCACCCCCAGGCTCAGCACCCCCAGGCGGCAAACTCTCAGGCACAGTACCCTCAGCTCCAGCACCCGCAGTCCCAGCACTCCCAGGCCCCGCACCCGCAGGCTCAGCACCCCCAGGCTCAGCACCCCCAGGCTCCGTACTCTCAGGCACAGTACCCTCAGCTCCAGCACCCTCAGTCCCAGCACCTGCAGCCCCAGCACCCCCAGGCCCAGCACCCCCAGGCTCAGCACCCCCAGGCTCAGCACTCCCAGCAGCACCACCCGCAGCAGCACCTGAGTCACCTGTGACCTCGACAGGCTCAGCGACGGGAGGAGGGTCTACCTGAGAGACACCTGAAGGAGCAGGACCCTGAGGGGGAAGGGGGTCTACCGGAGGGGGACCAGGAGCAAGGAAAAGCGGCGGGGGAGGGAGGGGGGCAGTGCGGTAGGGGAAGAGACGGTAAAAAGGGACCGACTCGTCAAAGGTGACATCCTGAGAGGCGAAGACCCGGCGCGAGGTGGGGTGGTAAAACTGCCAGCCAGGCGCGTCAGGGACAAAGCCAAGGAAGACACAGGGAAGCGTGCGGGAGGAGAGCTTGTCCGCGGACGTATCGCGGACAAGGGCACGAGCACCCCACACCCGGAAGCGCGACGCATCGCCAACCTCCCCCGTCCAACGCAGTGTGGGCGAGGTCTCCGGCAAGGAGACACGGGGCCAGAGGTTGAGCTGATGCGCGGCGTACCGGACAGCAAACGGCCACAGAAAATGGGGAGCCGCCGCGTGGACCAAGGAGGTACGAGCGATCTCCATGACCAGGCCAATGCGGCGCTCAGCAACCCCATTCTGCTGTGGGGAGTCCGGAAGCGTGAAGGTCTGCTCGATGCCCTCTGCCTGACAGAAGGTCCTCAGAAGATCGGAGGAAAACTCACCACCTCTGTCAGAGTGCAGACGCGGGCGGGCGGGCTGCGTAGTGAGCGGGCCGCGAAGCGGGCAGCGAGCGAGCGGGCCGCGAAGCGGGCAGCGAGCGGGCGGGCGGGCTGCGTAGTGAGCGGGCCGCGAAGCGGGCAGCGAGCGGGCGGGCGGGCTGCGAGCGGGCGGCTCGGCGAGGGGCGCGCGAGGGCGCTAGTGAGGGGCGCGCGAGGGCGCTAGCAAAGGGGCGCGCGAGGGCGCTAACGAAGGGGCGCGCGAGGGCGCTAACGAAGGGGCGCGCGAGGGCGCTAACGAGGGTGCGCGCGAGGGCGCTAACGAGGGGCGCGCGAGGGCGCTAACGTGGGCGCACGAGGGCGCTACGAGGCTAGGGCACGGGGTAGCGTGGTAACCGCATGCGAGCGGTGGTGGGCCCTTAAAAAAACGGTCGGTAGGTCCTAGGGACCTCCTGCTCTGAATACCATGTCAGAATCACTAGGCAAGAATGGTCCATTGAATGAAACAGTTGGGTACAAGTAGCAAACCCTAGTTGGGGTTGTACCCCATATTGGCTACCCCACTACAGCCTACAAGCATAATACAGTTTAACAATTTCATTATTCCTTTAACATATACTATTCCCCACCCCCCTACAGGTTTTAACCTTTTGGATCTATGTAATTTGGCAGATATAGACATTCCAGTCGTACATGGTACCTGCACTACAGGCGCGCATACCGACCAAACAGACCAGCGCATTACTTATGTCTGTAGAGATGCACTTAGTACCATTTCCTTGTCAGTCCATTAGAATATGATTTTTACTTCAACTACACTAGGTCCTAACCTTTCCGATCTTCACGTTTTGAGAGATTTTAGAGTTTCAGCTCCGCCTTGTATCTGCACACAAGCGTGCATACTGTCCGAACAGACCAACGCATTATTTCTCTATAGGCATACAGGGATTACCATATATTTTCCCAATTCCTTTAAATTAAACAATTCCCCACCCCCCTACCAGGTTTTAACCTTTTGGATCTATGTAATTTGGCAGATACAGGCATTCCAGTCGTACATGGTACCTGCACTACGGGCACGCATACTGACCAAACAGACCAGTGCATTACTTAAGTTTGTAGAGATGCAGTTAGTACCATTTTCTTGCCATACCATTAGATTAGGTTTTTTATTTCAACCACACTAGGTTCTGACCTTTTAATCCGCACATATTCAGACATTTTAGAGTTTCAGCTCCGCCTTGTACCTACACACAAGCGTGCATACTGACCGAACCGACCAACGGCATCTTTTCTCTGTAGGCATGTAGTGATTACCATATATTATTCAAATTCATTTAACTTATACTATTCCCCACACCCCTATCAGGTTTTAACCTTTTGGATGTATGTATCTTGGTAGATACAGGCAATCCAGTCGTACATGGTACCTGCACTACAGGCGCGCATACCGACCAAACAGACCAGCGCATTACTTATGTCTGTAGAGATGCAGTTAGTACCATTTTCTTGCCAGTCCATTAGATTAGGACTACTAGTTCAACAACACTAGGTTATAACCTTTCCGATCCACATAATTTGGGAGATTTCAAAGTTTCAGCTCGTCCATTAGATTAGGATTTCTACTTCAACAACACTATGTTCTAACATTTCCGATCCACATATTTTGAAAGATTTAAGAGTTCCAGCTCCGCTTTGTACCTGCACACAAGCGTGCATACTGACCAACGGCTTTTTTTCTCTGTAGGCATACAGGGATTACCATATTGCAATAACATTTTGACGAGCATACATAATTTGCAATATTTATTCCAATTCAGGGTAGAATTTACCAATTAAGGATAGAATTTTGTAACAGAAAGCATGGAGATTAAGCAACAATAGTTCAAATGAACCCTTCCCAAATGCCCATAATTTGTTAGATTTGAACGGTGAGTGCTTTCTTCAAGCCGGTCACGCAAAAACGAGTTCCAAACGTTCATCCCCGTCGTGTTACACCAACCCCCGCACTACTCTAATTAGGTCTTAGGGGCTACTTCCCACTTGGTCACTCCCCCTGTAGTGTCGGCGCGCGTTTCCAGTTACCTGCTGCCACGCACCACTCGTTCCATATATCTTAACAACCGTATCAGTCGTGCAAACTAGCTAATTCGCGTGTCGCGCGCATGGATCTACTAGATGCCGACGCGCTAAGGCGGCTGTACCCGGAGGCGTTCTGGGCGCCGTTCCTCGCGGAGGGCATGCGACCCGACGGCCGGCCCATCGGGCAAGCTCGCGGCGTCAGCATTGGTCTAGGTGCGTCGACGGCCAGGGTCATGGTTGGGTGATCAGAGTCAGGGTTCAGGGTATACGACGGGCAAGGCACTTTATGAGGGCTCCCTTTGGAATAATGGCATTTTGCGAGGTTTCATTAAAAATTCCCCAGCTTATTTTACATGAGCTATTTTCTCTGGGTTATTGTTCTTATCCGCCGTGCAGGCACTGTAACGAATGCGGATGCATCAGCTCTGGTGAAGCTGGGAGACACAGTGAGTGTTTTCTCACTCACCACAGCACTCCTCGTAACCGCGTACTCGTGCTTGCTCTAATGCGGTACCTCGCTTCCTCTGACATTTACCACTCCCTTCCACTTCCCCCGCACCTCCCCCCTTTTCCCCCTCCATATTCCCTCACTTTACACACAACCCCCATTTCCCCCACCTCCCCCCTGCGCTTGCGCTTCCGCCGTGGTTCCGCCGTTTCCCCCCATGCGCGCGCAGGCGATGGTGGCGGCGATAAAGGTGGAGGTGATGGCGCCCTCCGACGACCGACCCACAGCAGGCGCTCTGCGTGCGTGCGCTGGGGGGAGGGGAGGGGGAATAGGAACGGGAGGAGGAGAGGGATGGGAGGGAGGGGAGGGATGGGAGGGAGGGGAGGGATGGGAGGGAGGGGAGGGGGGGGAGGGAGGGAAGGGAGGGGAGAGAGGATATAGGCTGGACGAGGGGTTGGGGGCGGGAGTGGAGCAGGGAAGAGTAGGGGCACGGAGCAGAGGGAACAGTGACTGAGAGAATGAGAATGTGAGGATAGTGAGACGCTGATCGCACAATACCACTGCTCGGGGGGAGACCATGAGAAAACGTGGGAGCAGGGGTAGCGCGAAGGTGGTGGGGAGAGAACGAGAGGAAGGAGGACAAGCAAGGGTATTCCAGCATGGTTACACCACACCCTGTCCCTTGTAATATTGACACCTACATATCACTCTCGCTCTCCATCACCCACACCCTGTCTCTCTCCCTCATTCTCCCTCACTCTCTTTCTCTCATCTCAAACACCCTCCCTCCCTTCCTCTCCCTCTCTCAATCGCACCTGCTCCCCCTCCACCCTGCCCCCCCTGCCCCCCTGGCACCAAGAGCAGTGGTGTCGTGCGACCTACCGCCCATCTGCTCGGCAGCAGTGCGGCCTGGGCGCCCCCCGGACATGGCACACACCATCTCGCACCACCTCACCTCCCTGCTCACCAGGTAAAAGTCGCCCCTCCCACCCGCCACCTCTGCTCCCTCCTCCTCTCTCTCTCTCCTGCTCTTTCTTGCTCTCTTCCACATTGCTGTCATGTCACCACCGCTACAATCCATTGCCTCCCCATTCACCTCCCCTCTACCTCCTCTTCAGCACACAACCGCGCACTCTCGATCCCTAACCCTGCCCCTCCCCCCCCCCCATCCCCTACCTGCATCTCCAACGACCCACCCCGTCAAATCCCCTCATGTGTGTATCTCACTCACTCCTGTATTCTCCTGCGTTAATAGACTTTTCTTTCCTGTCCCTCGCCCCTCCCCTACGCCCCACACGCGTCTTCTCCTACCCATACAGTGCCGCGTGTGTGGATCTAACGCACCTCTGCATCGTGCCGGGCAAGGCTGCGTGGGCCATCTGGCTGGTGCGTGCTGCCCTCTCCCATGACCTCTCCCCACTACCCACGCATTGCCCATGCCCTACCCGTGCCAGGTAAGGGTGTAAAAACGAATACGGTTTCGAATGCGAATATTTTACGAATAGTAGGTAAATTCGTATTCGGTCGAATAGCCCTCTTCTAACCGAATCCAAATACGGTCCGGGTAGCTGGTTCACGAATACCGTTCGAATACCGGGTTCTGTTGCGAATACAAATACAAATACGAAATTTGCAATACATATGACCTTGGCCCATGGTTCGTAATAGGCCGTAAGCAGCGCCGGTGCTTTCATCGCTTATGGTACGCCTGAAGCATAACAAACGCACCCTCTGAGACCTAAGGGCATACAGGTCGAGATATTCGGCTGGCGAATACCGAATATGTCGAATAGTCCATATACGAATAATAGTCGAATAGCCAGTGATTCTGAATTCGTTTTTTATTTGGTATTCGTCGAATACCGAATACGAATACAAATATGTTGGTATTTGTTTACACCTTTAGTGCCAGGTAAGGCCGCATGAGCCATCTGGCTGGTGCATTTCGCATCGCCCTCTCCAATGCATTATCTATGCACTAGCAACGCATTGGCCAACACACTCTATTCTTTCGCTCAACCATCGCTCCGGCTTGTCGCTGCTAAAACTCGACACCTGTTCCTTATCCTCCCTCCTCTCCGCCCCCACTCTCTCCCTTCCCCAGCATTCCTCAGCTAATCCCCCATTCAACCCCTCACCCCGTCACCCATCTCGCCCACTCATTTCCCCGTCCCTGCGACCCCTCCTGCTCATCAGGACATCGTGTGCATTGACGCCGATGGTGCTCTCTTCGATGCTGCTCTGCTCGCTGCTCTCGCCGCCCTCTCCTCCTGTACGCTCCGCCCTCTCCTCACCTCACCCCTCTTCTCCACTCCTCTTCCTCGTCTCCGCTCCAATCCTCTTCCCTGCCCTCTACCCACCTCGTCACATCTGTACGCACAATTCATATGCCCACTCCCACTCCTTCCCTCCTTATCCACCGACTCCCCACTCCTCCTGCTGTGTGTCCTTCTCGCCCTGCTATGTGTTCTTCCTCCTCTCCTCCCCCCGTCTCCCCCACCCCACACCCCCCCCACACCTCCCCCATGCCTCACGCCATACCGCTTCTCTCTGACCGACACCCCCCCAACCCCCCCACGCCTTCTCCCCCCCACCTCCTGCAGTGACCCTCCCTGCAGTGGATGTGGTGGCGAATGGAAAGGTCTTTCTGCACTCACAAGCGGACGCGCAGACGGATGGGGGGCGCACAGGCAGCGAGGGGGAGGGTGGGGAAGCAGGCGGGGGGGACCGGGGTGATGGGGACGGGGTAGGTGCGGATGAAGGGAGGAGGGACGGGGATGGTATGGTGGTGGAGCAAACAGTTGAAGGGAGAAGATTGGAGCTGCAGGCGCTGCCATTGGCCCAGACGGTGTGCTTATATGGGGGGCACCTGCTGGTTGATCCTACGGCTGAGGAGGAGCGGCTGGGGAGTGGCAGTAACAATGTGATTATAGCGATGGATATGATGGCGCGGGAGGGGGGGTCAGGGGTTGGGAAGGGTGCGGAGGAGGAGGGGGAGAAGGGAGGGGGAGGGAAGGGGGAGAGGAAAGGAGGGAGTGGGAGGGGAGGGGGGAAAGGGGGAGGGGGGAGTGAAGAGGGGGAGGAGCTGTTACTGGTGTTTAAGGCAGGAGGATCGACAAGACTAACAGCAGCAGGCATGCAGGTGGGTTGGGCAGCAAGCAGTGGCAGGTTGTGCGTGTGGTGAGAGTGTGTGGTGAGAGTGTGTGGTGAGAGGCGGTATACAGGTTTGTGGGGCTGTGTTGGACTGCATGTAAGCTGCAGCATCGGGCTTCATACAGTACCTGTGTTCTGGGCAAACCCCTTTCGTTCCAAACACCCTGTAATCATCGAAACACTCACTCAGGAATCCACGTGCCCCCACCACCCTCCATACCCATCCACACCCTTCAACACCCCTCACTCCCTCCCCTATCCCTTCGGTCGGTGCGTGTGGTTGGGAATCACTGCGAGCAGGACTGCATTGCAGCAGCAGCGGTGAACCTCAGAGAGAGGAGAACTGCTCTGCTGGATGCATTGGCCGAGGCAGAAAAGGAGGAGGAAGAGGAGGATGAGGAGGAGGAAGGGGAGGAGGGGGAAGAGATGGAGAGTTGACAATGAATGGCTTTGTGCAGGCCTGGTTCTGTAGCACAAGGAGCATTTACGGAGAGTAGTAATAATCAAGTTATTTTTATTTGCCTCAGTGATGTTACCGTACAATGGATTGGATCCACTAAAGAGGCGTACAGTGTACCGCTTTGTGTAAGCTTAGACATAACACTGCAATATGGACAACAGGGCATTTATACTAACAAGTTGCAACACAGAAGCCCCCACCATACCACCACCACCCACTAAACACCCTTCACATTGCATTCCCGTACTGCAGCAGCTGTATCAAATCAGTGCAGGTCAGCACAGGTCAACCCTCGTCAGCACTAGTCAGCACTGAGCACTGGTCTGCTGAGTCAATGCTGCAAGTCCCAGACGCGCACAGACCCATCACCCGAGCACGAAAGCATCTGCTTGTCAGTGGGATGGAAAGCAAGCCCTGTCACCATGCCCTTGTGCGCGCCCTGCTGCTGCTGACCCCACCACCACCCACCACACACCCTTCACATTGCATTCCCGTTCTGCAGCAGCTGTATCAAATCAGCACAGGTCAGCACAGGTCAACCCTGGTCAAAGCTGGTCAAAACTGGTCAATGCTGCAAGTCCCACACACGCACGGACCCATCAGCCGAACAGGACAGCATCTGCTTGTCCGACGGATGGAACGCCAGCCCTGTCACCACGCCCTTGTGCGCGCCCTGCTGCTGTCCTGCAATTGACCCCTCCACCAGATCCCATGCCACTAGCCTGCCATCCTCCGATCCACACACCACGTACGCGTCGTCCCGCGTCAACCCTGCTTCCAGCTTGTAGTGCTGCCGGCGCATGGGGGGTTGGGGATGGGAAATTTGGAATTTACGATTGAGATTGCCGTATGGTTGGGGTTTCGAGGGGGTAGGAAGGATGTGAGAGGAGGGGAGTGGAAGCAGAGATGCAGACGAAGGTGTGTGAGTGCGAGGTTGATGTTCTTCCGGCCACACGCACAGCCCAGCCCAGGCATGCCCCATGAGTCATGACTCCTGTGGCCCATGCAACACCCATGGTGGGTGGCATGGCATGCGCGCACTCACCTCGTTCACATGGCCCCGGTACTCATTCAGAATCTCTCCGCTTTGCCTGCACACATGCAGTGAACCACGACGTAGCATGTGAGCGCCCACACATCCTTCCACAGAGCAGCAGAGCAGCACAGCACGAGGGAACCGGCAACGTGCAGTTGCCAGCAAGCAGGCAGGTGGCGTCTGCCCATGCACCTCACTGCATGAAGACTTTCGCGTCGACTCAAACGCGCCCAGGCACTGCACTGCAAGCGGTGCGCACCTGTCGAGCAACCTGAGAGTGCTGTGCAGGCTGGCGGCGAGCAGGCAGTTGGCGTCGTGCGACATGGCAATGCAGTTGATGGGGTGCTCCCGCCCTAGCTCGTCCACCTGCAATCTGGCGCACGCACAGCAGGAGACTTTTCAGTCGACTCAACACATGGCAATGCATGGGATGCTCGCGCCTAGCTCGCCCACCTGCAGTCTGGTGCATGCACGCAGCACGGCAGGATAGTTGGAACTGGAATAGGATGGATGGGTCGACCAGCAAAGAGACGAAGGGGGGAGGTTGACAATGAAATGCGGGAATGACCCCCATGGCACAATACCATCCCACCGCACCGAACCGCCCACGCCCGCAACACCCACGTGCGCACCTGCCTCTGCGGATATCGAACGTGGCGATGCTCCCGTCAATACTAGCGGCAACGATGCAGTGAGCGGTGAGCAGCAGCGAGGTGACGGCGTCTGAGAAGGGGTCCATGGTCTGAATGGCGTCCACGCTGTGCGACCGACAGTCCCACGCACGCACACTGCGGTCGTACCCTCCTGACACCACCACGCTGTCGTACTCGTTGAACGCCACTGCGTTCACCTGTGTGCGCTCGTGTGCATGGACGGAGTGAATGCGGACAGAGGGAGAGGGGGGAGAATGAATGAGTCTATGGCAGCACACTCAAGAGCCACCACTGCCGTCGTGCCCTCCTGACACCACCACACTGTCATACTCGTTGAATGCCACTGCGTTCACCTGCGCTCGTGGATGGATAGTGGCAGGGGGGTGAGGGGGAGAGTGAGGAGGTTGGTGAAATGGGACACGGATGAAGAAATGTTCTCGGCATGAAGAGGAAATGAGGCAGGCAGGGAGAGAGGAAGGGAGGGAGCGGGAGGTGGGAGGCAAGGCGCCTCAGCAAGTGTTTCTGAGGCAGCAAACTGCAACTAACTCAGAAGGAGCGCCCAGTGACTCCATGCATTTGCATATCTGAGGCTTCAAAGGGGCACAGCGCAGCGCACCTGGTTGTCGTGGCCTTTGAACCGTCGGATTACTCGCCCTGAAGCCACGTCCCACAGCAGCACGCCCTTCTCCGCGCCCCCCGACGCCAGCCGCGCGTTGTCGCTGCATGGTGGGAGTAGGCGCAGGGGGAGAACGAAGGAAGCGCAATAGGGATGGAGGGGCGAGGCACGGAGGGTGCAGGAGAGGCTGTGAGCAGGGCTGGCATCTTTGGGCGCGCGGCACGGGCGGTCTGCGATGCGAGCTTCATTCTGCACAATGGGGTGTTGTGTTGCTGGCGGTCACGGTGCGACAGGGTTCACACTGCTTCTCCTCCACGCTCTTCTATCTCCTAACAATTCCCCGTTTCCCCGTTGTGGGTTTGTCCCCACTTCTGTCTCGCCTCGGCAACTCCCTTTTTCCACTGCTACCCCCCCCCGACCCCACACTCCCCTCCCCGCCACAACCCCCTCCCGCCCCCGTTCCTCCGCGCCAGCGCCCCCCGCCGCGCGCACCTGGTGACGGCGACGTCGCGCACCTCGCGGCCGTGCCCCACGTAGCTCTTGATCATCAGCCCCGTCGCGGGGTTCCACAGGCGCACCGTGCGGTCCTTTCCGCACGTCAGGCAGTACCGCCCGTCCGGGTTGTACCGCACCGCTAGCACCGCCCCCTGGTGCCCCACCAGCGCGCGCTCCTCGCGCCACCGCACCTTGGCGGAAGCGAGGGGCGCGGAGAGTCCGCCGGTCCCTCCGCCCGCGGTCATTTTGCAGCGGGATGGGGAGGAGTGGAAACCGTTAGGCGAAGAAGGTTCTAAAGCGACAGATGTACGATATGTATACAGCCGAGCGGCAGAAATAGGGGGGTGATGGGTAATTGCGAACGATTATGAGAGTCATGCAATTGGACGGATTTCAAGGTGGCACGACACGACGTTATTGACTGTTACACTAACACTCAATTCATCAATCGCCAATACATGTGAAATGCTTCAATCCATACAGATCGTTTGCTCCTTTGCACGAAATTGTATTTGTTCTAATGCGAACATATGTTAGTGGTGTATCGCGTCATGCTGGACAGCCATTTCTTTATTTCGAAATTCCGACCTGGCACGCGCTAACAGGGTACTCCTCCTTTTACGGCCTTTTCCTGTCCGCGCTGTCACACTTTCGACACGACTCCATCCATGAAAACCAGCCACGTGCACCGCCATTTCAGGAAGTTGGGACCAGACCAGGGAAATCTCACGTGACGTGGAGATCTTGTTACGGTGCTGGCATTTCGTTGAATATTGCCTCGCCAATGAGATTTGCCCCACTCTTTTCCCCACATCCCGAACTGCTAGCTGGGGAGAAATGACCAACTGTCCTCCGTGTTTCATGTCGAGGTGACATGGCGGGGAGGGTGTGTACGACCTCTGCTGAGGCGGAAAATGTCGGCGTGGCGAGTCTCCCCCGTGCGAGATCCGCCTCCGGCATTTTCTCGCCCCATGCCTTACGTGTCCAGTGAACCAGGGTCACTTGCTTTCTTTCGCAGTCATTGCGGACCTAACCAAAACTCGTACAGTACAAACGAACCCAAAAACACCGATGTTTAAACTGTTCAACTTTAACGCAACCCGTTTATACCGCTCCATACCCTCCTCTCCTTTTCCACCCGCATCCTCTTCCACTTCCCTTCCCGCGCAAGCCCTGTCAGCCAGGGCGTGGCGATATTCCTCGGCTCCTATTCGCCCTCATAGTTGCTCGCACGCCATTCCCAACTGTCTTGCCACACGGCCTCGCCAAGAATCGTGCGACTACATATCTGCGGCGCAGCTGCTATCCAAATCCTAGCAACTACATAATCCCACTCCCCTCTCCTCTCACCCCGTCTTACTCACCGTAGTTTCATGGCTGCATCTCTCCTTTCCGCACAAACTGGTCTTGCTAGCGCCAGGCTTGTCCAGGCTTGCTCTAGAAGCGAGGTAGGAACACGCTCTCTAACCCTGTTCTTCATGACTTTCACCTTGCTTCGTTCATGTGTCCTGTCTCAGCATAGCTTTTGTGGATCTTGTGGTTCTAGATTGCGTCCTCTTGCCCGTTATTCCGTGCACATGCGTGATGTTCCCTTTCATCCGTACATCTTTGCCCTAATGATGTGCTCTCATCCTAAAGCGTGCTGTTCGCGTGCTGTTTCTTCCCTGCGTGCGGTGCAGGCGTTCAAGAGCTTGGCGTTCAAGGCCAGCTCAGTCGTCGCTCCCGGCCGATTCTTCGGTTCCTTCTCGCAGTCGCGCGTGACCATGGCGGCCGAGCCCTCGCGCTTCCAGGATGTGGCCATGGCGCCTCCCGATCCCATCCTCGGCGTGTCGGAGGCCTTCAAGGCCGACACTCATCCCGACAAGCTTAACCTTGGTGTCGGAGCGTACCGTACCGAGGATCTCCAGCCCTACGTGCTGCGTGTTGTGTCAAAGGTGAGGATTTGGATGGGTGCATGGCTATGGATCCTACAAGATCAACGCTAAGATCAATGGTTCTTGGATCTTAGGATGTGGATCTTATATCTCGTCGTCAAGTTACATGATGTGAGACACCAAGCAAGGACGCGCTTTTATACTGTTGATCTCGGTGTAGATCCAGCAGTGTTGGCTTGTTCTTCAGTATCTGGCCTTGCAATCTGCTGATTTCCTCGTTTTTCTTCCGCCGGTGGGTGCGTGCCAGGCGGAGAAGCTGATGTTGGACAGCCACGAGAACAAGGAGTACCTGCCCATTGAGGGTCTCGCCGCATTCAACAAGGCCACCGTCGAGCTGCTGCTCGGCGCCGGCAACCAGGCCGTCAAGGACGGACGGGTACGCCCATTCTCTCACGGATTACACCGATCCAACTGTTCTCCAGTTTCAACACTGTAGTGCGTGCGATCAGACGGCGCGGTTGGCGCGCGTGGTGAATGTATGGCGGTAGTTCATGCGATGTTGAGTCATCTGCAGCTTGGCGTGGTCGGCGCGCATCGTATACCCATCCATGCACTCCAGTGGCGTTCGATTCCGTCGGCTGACTCCCCGATCTCCGTGTGTGCTGGCTGCTGCCCGAGCGTGCAGGTGGCGACGGTGCAGGGCCTGTCCGGCACGGGGTCGCTGCGTCTGGGAGCGGCGTTCATCCAGCGCTACCTGCCCGGCACCACCGTCTACATCTCCGCTCCCACCTGGGGTCAGTTGCCTTGCCCGTAACCAGTACTCGCCCCTTGCCCTGTCCTCCACTCTCTTCCCCCCTTTCCCTCCCCCGGCTTCCCTCTCCCCCCTTACGCGTCCCCCGCTCTCTCCGCGCCCCCCGCTCTCTCCGCGCCCCCCGCTCTCTCCGCGCCCCCCGCTCTCTCCGCGCCCCCCGCTCTCTCCGCGCCCACATCTTTTTCATTCGCAATCCCTCGTTTCTCACGCTCATTCGCGTGTGTTCGCCTGTGGTGGTTGTGCGCGCAGGCAACCACAAGGCGATCTTCTCGGACGCGGGCGTGGAGTGGAAGGAGTACCGCTACTACGACCCCAAGACCGTCGGCCTCGACTACGACGGCATGCTCGAGGACATTAAGGTGCGCGCCGCCGCCGCCCCCGAGCGGGCAGATCGGGATTGGGATCGGCAGATCTGGGTCTATGTATTGGTCAGATCTAGGTCCGGATAAGGGGGGAGAGGAGCCGGTGCTCCGTGGTGCTCCGTGTTCCGGATGTTTACGTGTGAATGCCATTTCGTCAAATGCATGGGAGGACCTACTTTAGAATGGCCGTGGAACTAGAAAACTCCCGCTTTCCTATCTATGGGCAGACAACAGCTGTCGCACTAGCGGTATCAGTAACCGTAGCAGCGTACGCGGTGCTCGCCCACTCATTCGCGCTCTCACGCTTGTCATTCCTCTCCTGTTCCCGCCGCTTCTCCCGCTGCAGAACGCCCCTGACGGCTCCGTGATTCTGCTGCACGGGTGCGCGCACAACCCCACGGGCATCGACCCCACCAAGGAGCAGTGGAAGGTGATCGCCGAGACCATCAAGGCCAAGAAGCACCTCCCCTTCTTCGACGTCGCCTACCAGGTATCTATCTCACCAACCGCTCTCGCCTCCCACGCGACCGTATCGCTCCCTATCGCGTCACTCAGATCGCAGATCTGACCCATGTGCCTTAGATCCGCTGGCGTCACGCTAAGTTCATCCGCATCTGTCGTGTCTCACCCGATTCGCGAGTCTTGTCTCACCCGATTCGCGGGTCTTGTCTCACCTGATTCGCGGGTCTTGTCTCACCTGATTCGCGGGTCTTGTCTCACCCGATTCGCGGGTCTTGTCTCACCCGATTCGCGGGTCTTGTCTCACCCGATTCGCGGGTCTTGTCTCACCTGATTCGTGTGCGTGCGCCTCGTTGTCGCTGCGCAGGGCTTCGCGAGCGGCAGCCTGGACGAGGACGCGTGGTCCGTGCGCTACTTCGTGGAGAGCGGGCTGGAGGTGCTGGTGGCGCAGTCGTACAGCAAGAACCTCGGGCTCTACGCGGAGCGCATCGGCGCCATCAACGCCATCGTGCCCACCGCCGACGTCGCCACGCGCGTCAAGTCGCAGCTGAAGCGCCTCGCGCGGCCCATGTATTCCAACCCGCCCGTGCACGGCGCGCGCATTGTCGCGAACGTGGTGGGCGACGGGAAGCTGTTCGACGAGTGGAGAGAGGAGATGCAGGGCATGGCGGGGCGCATCAAGGAGGTGCGGCAGAAGCTGTACGACCAGCTGGCGGCTAAGGATAAGTCCGGCAAGGACTGGTCGTTCGTGCTCAAGCAGATCGGCATGTTCTCCTTCACTGGCCTCTCCAAGACGCAGGTGCGTGCCGTGCCTGCGCGTCGCGGGGGGTGGTTGGACTTGGGGGTACGAGCGGGATGCGTGGAACTGGGGGAATGTGGGAATGTGTACGAGTGCAATCTCAAGACTAATGTGACTGTATGGTGATCTGGATGGGCTCTATGCTGTGAGACTGATGATTTTGCAAGCCTGTTGTGCAGTTGGTACATCAGAAGTTAACTTACCTCCTCACTCACACCTGTTTCTCCACCCTCTCACCCTCCACCCCTGCCTTCTTCCTATCCTATCTGTCCATGGCGTCAGTCGGAGCACATGACGAGCAAGTGGCACGTGTACATGACCAAGGACGGGCGTATCTCCCTGGCTGGTCTGCCTGCTGCCAAGTGCGAGTACCTTGCTGACGCCATCCTTGACTCGTACTACAACGTCAAGTAGATTGATTGCCATACTTTTCAGCCTTTTGAAAAGCTGTCTTGAAGATTTTGGAGAGGTGCATTTTTGATTTTGTGTTAGTGCTTTTTAGTTGTTGCTTTGTTTGCTACCTCTAGTGTTTAAGACCTGGACATGTAAGAGCAGCAATCATTTAAGAGCAGGCAACCAAAGACCTTGACAAGAGCAAAGCATGTGTTCTGTCGGAAATCCATAGTGTAACGGTAATATGCTCGTTTGTGACAATACTGGTTTGACCGGAGACTGAAATGTGGTAGAACAACGGTCTTACAATCTAAACATAGCAGAGTGGCTCTAAGCAGACTACATGTGATCAAACCACATCTGGTAATTGATGGGCCTGGCAAACATGAGATCTACATATGTATCCAGTAATTAGACTCTCAGACTTCATTTACTTCTCCAAGAATCACCACAGAAGCCAGGAAGAATGTGTTCAGGCTGTAACGAACAAATATTATTGCATGATGTTATACAAAGGTATGGCTGTGGCAGGAAAAGTAGCTCTATGGATGCTACATGCCCTACACCTCATATTCTCCAACTCCTTACGAGGATCGTTTTGCTCTCCATAAACGTTTCCCACGAAAGGCAACGCACGCTCTTTTGCCCTCCCCAATTAGTCTCTTTGCCTTCCAGCATGCTCCACTAGCCTCCAAAGATCGCCAACCTGCAGATGGCATCATTCCATGGCAGACCATCCCATGCCACACCATTCCATGCCATACCATGACATGCCATACCATGACATGCCACACCATCCCATGCCATACCATGACATGCCATACCATGCCATGCCACATCATAACATGCCAAAAGATGGCACACCAAAACATGGCACCAAAGGCACACACAAAACAACAGCATGCCACAGTATGGCACACCACAGCATGGCATGCCAAACCATGCAATTGCAGAGCATCGCATCCCACAGTACGGCCCCAAACCATGCCATAGCATGGACACTATGGCATGCAGCACCATGACATGCCAAAACATGCCATACCACAATGCCCTGCCATGACATCACATCAGCCACCAAACCACACAATGTGCAGACAGTAACATGCCACAAACAAACATGCCACACACAATCATGCCACACACAATCATGCCACACACAATCATGGCACACACAATCATGCCACACACAATCATGGCACACACAATCATGGCACACACAATCATGCCACACACAATCATGCCACACACAATCATGCCACACACAATCATGCCACACACAATCATGCCACACACAATCATGCCACACACCAACATACCACACACCAACATACCACACAACATGCAAGCAGTAATATGCAGTATCATACCATACAATGACACACCATACAGTAACATACCTTACTGTATCATACCACAGAATATCAAACCACACAGCATCATACCATACAGCATCACACCTTAAAGTAACACACCATACAGTATCATACCATACAGTAGCATACCAGACAGTAGCATATCATACAGTAGCATACCATACAGTAACATACCATACAGTAACATACCATACAGTAGCATACCATACAGTAGCATACCATACAGTACCATACCATACGGTTGCATACCATACAGTAGCATACCATACAGTAGCATACCATACAGTATCATACCATAAAGTAGCATACGCTACGGTAGCATACCATACAGTAGCATACGCTACAGTAGCATACCATATAGTAGCATGTCATACAGTAGCATACCATACACTAGCATACCATACAGTAGCATACCATACAGTAGCATACCATACAGTAGCATACCATACAGTAGCATACCATACAGTAACATACCATACAGTAGCATACCATACAGTATCATACCATAAAGTAGCATACCATACAGTAGCATACCATACAGTAACATACCATACAGTAGCACACCATTCAGTAGCATACCATACAGTAGCATGTCCTACAGTAGCCTACCATACAGTAACATACCATACAGTAGCATACCATACAGTAACATACCATACACTAGCATACCATACAGTAGCATACCATACAGTAGCATACCATACAGTAGCATACCATACAGTAGCATACCATACAGTAGCATACCATACAGTAGCATACCATACAGTAGCATACCATACAGTAGCATACCATACAGTATCATACCATACAGTAGCATACCATACAGTAGCATACCATTCGGTAGCATACCATACAATAGCATACCATAAAGTAGCATACCATCCAGTAGCATACCATACAGTAGCATACCATACAGTAGCATACCATACAGTAGCATACCATACAGTAGCATACCATACAGTAGCATACCATACAGTATCATACCATACAGTAGCACACCATTCGGTAGCATACCATACACTAGCATACCATACAGTAGCATACCATACAGTAGCATACCATACAGTAGCATACCATACAGTAGCATACCATACAGTAGCATACCATACAGTAGCATACCATACAGTAGCATACCATACAGTAGCATACCATACAGTAGCATACCATACAGTAGCATACCACACGCCCCACTTCACACCAAACCCTCACCACGACTTACCAGCCATCCCCCAGCAGTAGGAGCAGCAGACAGCCCACTCCCTTTCGGAAACAGCACCCCCTGAGGCTGTGCCTTGTGGGTCGAGGAGTGGCAGTGGAAAATTGCTTCCAGCCCAAGACTCAAATCCCACCCCTGACGTAGCCAGAGCTGACGCGAACCAGAGCCGCCGGCCGGTCGGCTCTGACGGTGTCCATTAGGCCTTGAATGCCAGTTCGGGAACCCAAGCACCGAGTGCCGTGCCGCGCAGATTCCACCCACCACACCCCACCCACAAGCCACACCCCCAGAGGGTGCCGCCCCTAAGAGAGTGTGCTGCCCGCTTGCTCCCATGCTGCCCCTCCACCCGCCCACCTCCCCCCTCCCCTTCACCCCATGCGTGCTCACCTGTACCTACCAGAGCCGTGCAGCGCCATGATGCCTGAGGCTGCTGGGAAGTGGGGAGGGGGGATTAAGAGAGGTTGGAACTCCATTGTGGTCCAGGAAGGGTGCTGTTGGGTGGGAGGGAGGAGAGAGAGAAGAAGAGATGAGTGAGAGGGTGGACTCCACACTCCGCCCGTGCTTCTGTGCTCCCACCCTCAGGCTGCGGGGAAGAAGGGGAGAGAAAGAAAAGAGGGGTTTAGAATACCTCACCACCATACCTCACCTGTTACCACACCTTGCATACCATGACTCGACCTAGCCTATCCTGTCCCCCTAGCCCCCCAACCCCCTTCTGCTGCTACCGCTGCTGCTGCCCCGCTTCTGCTGCTACAACTGCTGCTGCCGGTCTGCTTCTCAGCTGCATTCTTCCCATGTGATGCCATGTGACCTGGTGGTGGGCAGAAAGGAGGAGAGAGAGACAAAAGGTAAGATGTGGCGTGACAATAGTTGTGGTGTGTTTCGAAATGCACAAAGGATGAAGCAGGAAGATGTAGAAATGACAAGAGAGAAGCATTGATGCTAAGGATGAAGAGAAAACCATGCAGCAGAAAACGAGCTTGAGGGAGTTGGAGGGTGAGAAGGAAGTTGACATACCTTGAGAGGCCGAGCCCACCCCGATACTCTCCCTTGTGGCAGCGATTGCCATCTGCTGCAATGCTGCCGCCCTCCCGTCCCCACGAGTCCCTGCACGGCCACAGGGGAGGGGCGTGGGGAAGCGTCGGTGTTGACCCCAGCGCCCCTCCCCTCCACCTGCAACGCACACACACGGCGGTGGTCAGTATGCATGGCATGGCTTGGAGCACAAGGCACAGACTGGAAACTGCCAACACTGGAAGAGAAGGGAGGGCCACGGGTTGAGGCAAGGCCACACGCCACAGACGCCAAGGGAACCTGCACCTGAGGGGGGGACCTGCACACCTGAAGGGATTACCTGCATACCTGAGGGGGTTACCTGAAGTGCGGGTGTCTGTGGCACGAGACTTCACTCAACCAGTGGCATGATTCAAAAGGGAAGGGCGAAAACACAACCAAAAAACAAAATGGCGGCAGTGCAAGGGTGAGGGCATGGAGGAGAGTTACTCAACTGATGGCGTGAGAGCGAGCTCAAGGCAGCTGCAGCACCACCAGCTGCCTCCCTCCACGGCAGCCCTCCTCCCAGCCCTCCCGTGTGCGTCCCTGCACGGCCACAGGGGAGGGGCGTGAGGGAGCGTCGGTGAAGACCCCACACCCCTCCCTGCCACCTGCAATGCACACACACAGAGCTAGTCAGAGCACAGTGGTGGGAGCAAGTGGAATGAATAATAGTGACTTTAGGTCCAGCGCAAGAGAAGAGAGGGAGGAGCCACTGGTGAAGGCATGGCCACAAGCTACAGACCCAAGGGCACCTGAAAAAAAACCTGAGGGGTGTACCTGCACCTTAGGGGGTTACCTGCACCTGAGAAATACCTGTAGCAGGGGGGTCTGTAGCATGTGAGCAGTGCCTAACCAGTGGCGAAGTTTCTAAGAACACGGTGCAGCAGCAAATGAAACGAGCGAAACGGTGTGGCAGGAAAGGAGGAGAGCATGGAGGAACGGATACTTAGCTGATGGCGTGAGAGCAGGAGGCAGTTGAAGCAGCATGGGCAGCCGGCATGGCATGGCATCTCAGACGAGCAGCAGCGCTGCTCTTGAGCTCCTGCGAGGGGCCCTGGAGCGGAGGGGAGGGGAATGGAGGGGAGGGGATGGGAGGGGAGGGAGAGGCAGTGAGTGGGAGGGAGCCACCATCATGGAAGGGAACGCATACATGGAAGCGCGGTGAATTGAAGAAGAGCGAATGGAGGGCCACAGGAAGACGCACAGTCACGCCACAGACAACGGTCTTTACCTGAGGGCTTTACCTGGAAAAGGGCTTTACCTGGGGGAGGGCTTTACCTGTAATGGGGAGGGTCTGTGGGCTGTTTCCTGTGCTACCACCAGTGGCCCCGTTTTGAGAGAAATAGAAATGACAGGAAAACGAAACGAGGGTGGATGAATGCAGGAGCGAGCACTTAGCTGATTAAGTGGTTGCATGCAGAGGGCAGGTGAAGCAGGGCCCCTCCCCTGCTGCATCAGTGCTCCCCGCTGCTGATGGTGCCACAAGTGGTCCCGCCAGCTGTCTCTGCTTCGTTGCACGTGACCTGGGAGGGGGCAGAATGGAAGGGAAGGCCAGGAGGGGAGTGAGTGCATGCCTTGAAACAGGCAAGGGCGAATCAAAGGGATGAGCGTGGGAGTGCAAATCAGCAGAAAATGATTGCAGCGGGAAAGAGAGGTAAGAGGCTTACCTTGAGAGGCCAAGCCCATCCCGATACTCTCCCTTGCTGCAGTGGGATTGCCATGCTGCAGTGCTGCCTCCCTCCCGTCCCCACGAGTCCCTGCACGGCCACAGGGGAGGGGCGTGGGGAAGCGTCGGTGTTGACCCCAGCGCCCCTCCCCTCCACCTGCAATGCACACACACGGCGGTGGTCAGTATGCTTGGAAAGGCTGCCAGCACAACACAAGGCACAGCCTGGAAACTGCCAAATCCGGAAGAGGGAGGGAGGGCCACTAGTTGAGGCACGGCCACACGCAACAGACTCCAAGGGAACCAGCACCTGAGAAACACCTGACCTGAGAAACACCTGCACCTGTTAGGGCTACCTGCACCTGAGGGGTTACCTGAAGTGTGGGGGTTTGTGGCATGTGAACCGACTCAACCAGTGGCATTTTTTGAAAGGGAAGGGCGAAGGAACAACCAGCAAACAAAATGAGAGTACAGAAATACAAGAGATGATGTGCAAGGAGGGTTACTTAGCTGATGGCGTGAGGGCGAGCTCAAGGCAGCTGCAGCACCACCAGCTGCCTCCCTCCACGGCAGCCCTACTCCCAGCCTTTCCATGTGCGTCCCTGCACGCCCACAGGGGAGGGGCGTGAGGGAGCGTCGGTGTTGACCCCACACCCCTCCCCGCCACCTGCAGTGAGCACACACAGAGCTAGTCAGAGCACAGTGGTGGGAGCAAGTCGAATGAATAGCAGTGACTTTAGATCCAGCGCAAGAGAAGAGAGGGAGGAGCCACTGGTGACTTTAGATCCAGCGCAAGGCACCTGAAAAAAAACCTGTACCTGAGGGAATCACCTGAAGCAGGGGGGTCTGTAGCATATGAGCAGTACTCAACCAGTGGCATTGTTTCGAGAGGACTGTGCAACAGCAGATGAAACGAAGGAAATGATATGGCAGGCAAGGGTGAGGGCGTGGAGGAACTGGTACTTAGCTGATTGTGTGGTGCAGGCGGAGGGGGTGCTTCAATGGAGAGTGGGCAGGGCGAGCGGGGCTTGAAGGGACGGACCTGCGAGGCAGAGAAGGGAGAGAGAGGTAGAGAGATAGTAAGAGGCACGTGGGAGGGGGATTGAATCTTTTAAACGAGAAGAATCTGGCAGCAGTGTGAGTGCAGAAACGACAGTGCATGTGACGCCAACCACAACCCCACAAGAGCCGCTACCAACCTGAACCTGCACCTGAACCTGCACCTGAACCTGAACCTGAACCTGAACCTGAACCTGAGGGGGAGTGGGCTCGAGTGGGGTGTGGTGGCAGGGGCGATACTGCAACCTCAGCTGTTGAAGAGGCCGGCGCTGCTGCCCCGCTGCCCGCGCTCCTGCTTCCTGTTTTGGTGCTCCCCTCGTCTGCTGCTCGCGTGCTGCCCTCCCTCTGGCTTGTGAAGGCCTGGCAGGGAAGGGAGGGGAGGGGAGGAAGAGCGGAAAGGAAAGCCAGCCAAAAGTAAGAGGGGATGCAATGGAGAAAAGTGTCAAACACACGTGCAACAGCAGAAACGACAGTGCATGTGACGCCAACCACAACCCCACAAGAGCCGCTACCAACCTGAACCTGAACCTGCACCTGAACCTGAACCTGAACCTGAACCTGAACCTGAGGGGGAGTGGGCTCGAGTGGGGTGTGGTGGCAGGGGCGATACTGCAACCTCAACCGTTGATGAGGCCGGCGCTGCTGCCCCGCTGCCCGCGCTCCTGCTGCCCGCCCTGGTGCTCCCCTCGCCTGCTGCTCGCCTGCTGCCCTCCCCCTGGCTTGTGAAGGCCTGGCAGGGAAGGGAGGGGAGGGGAGGAAGAGCGGAAAGGAAAGGCAGCCAAAAGTAAGAGGGGTTGCAATGGAGAAAAGTGTCAAACACACGTGCAACAGCAGAAACGACAGTGCATGTGACGCCAACCACAACCCCACAAGAGCCGCTACCAACCTGAACCTGAACCTGCACCTGAACCTGAACCTGAACCTGAACCTGAGGGGGAGTGGGCTCGAGTGGGGTGTGGTGGCAGGGGCGATACTGCAACCTCAACCGTTGATGAGGCCGGCGCTGCTGCCCCGCTGCCCGCGCTCCTGCTGCCCGCCCTGGTGCTCCCCTCGCCTGCTGCTCGCCTGCTGCCCTCCCTCTGGCTTGTGAAGGCCTGGCAGGGAAGGGAGGGGAGGGGAGGAAGAGCAGAAAGGAAAGGCAGCCGAAAGTAAGAGGGGTTGCAATGGAGAAAAGTGTCAAACACACGTGCAACAGCAGAAACGACAGTGCATGTGACGCCAACCACAACCCCACAAGAGCCGCTACCAACCTGAACCTGCACCTGAACCTGAACCTGAACCTGAGGGGGAGTGGGCTCGAGTGGGGTGTGGTGGCAGGGGCGATACTGCAACCTCAACCGTTGATGAGGCCGGCGCTGCTGCCCCGCTGCCCGCGCTCCTGCTGCCCGCCCTGGTGCTCCCCTCGCCTGCTGCTCGCCTGCTGCCCTCCCCCTGGCTTGTGAAGGCCTGGCAGGGAAGGGAGGGGAGGGGAGGGAGGGCGGAAAGGAAAGGCAGCCGAAAGTAAGAGGGGTTGCAATGGAGAAAAGTGTCAAACACACGTGCAACAGCAGAAACGACAGTGCATGTGACGCCAACCACAACCCCACAAGAGCCGCTACCAACCTGAACCTGAACCTGAGGGGGAGTGGGCTCGAGTGGGGTGTGGTGGCAGGGGCGATACTGCAACCTCAACCGTTGATGAGGCCGGCGCTG